CTACTCCCTCAACTATGCAACCAACAGCTCAGCTGCCTCAGAATCAATCTAACCCAAATTCCACTCCCAATGTTAATGCCACACCCAAGATATCAGCCAACTTTGATAGGCCTACCAACACCAAAAAAACCCAAAAACCACCTGCAACAAACAATGATCCATCCACCCAGCCTGTCAAACAGGTTCCACCAATTACTAATCCCAACCCACAACTCAGCAACTCTCCCAATCAAAACAAACCTGTAGGTAACTCACCACCACTACCTCCTACTGTTACTCATTCCTATGTCACAAGACTCAGAGCTATGCATGCGGCAGAGATCAAACCAATAGCATTTACCCCTCCAAAAATAACTACCAAATAAGGTCAACCTGCAGTAATTTTCAAAAGGGAAGACTACATGGTAAGATTTGCAGATAGGTGCAAGTTCACAGTAGTAGGCAAGTTTTCCAACACTATGCCTAGAATGGAAATCATAAGAAAGAGCTTTATTGCTCAGACTGAACTCAGAGGACCAGTCAAGATAGCCCATTTCAATGCTAGGATTGTCTATATTGATATGGAAAATGAGTATGATCACTCCACTGTCTGGGGTAAGCAGTACATGTATATCCAAGGCCAGATGATGAAATTGGAAGCATGGTCCCCAGCATTCAAGCCAATAAAGACTCTCCTATTGTGCCAGTATGGGTGATGATCCCAGAATTGCCATGGCATTTGTACTACATGGAGATTCTCACACCTCTGTTGTCTCCTATAGGCAAAGCCTTATACTTGGATCTGGCCTCTTTCCAGAAAACAAGGGGAAGTGTGGCCAAGGTCAAGATTCAAATTGATTTAACCAAGGAGAGACCCCATCATGTCTGGCCTGGATATGATGAGGAGCAGGATGAAAATGGAGATGGAGAATGGTTGGAATTCCAGTTTGATAGCTTGCCAGCCTATTGCAGACATTTAGGTCACTCTGAATGCACATGTGAAATTAGGCTGAAAGATGAGGATAAAAAGAAGAGAAAAGAGGAAGAACAAAAAGTTTCGTAATCCACACAATGCAGCCCTAGGTACCTCCAAGGGACTGCAGCAAACTGTGCAAGAGGGAAGACCAAAAACTAATGAACAGAACCAAAGCAAAAATCCAAAGGCAGTACAACATCAAAAAGCAACAGAACACCAAAACTCAGCTCAAGAAACAACAGAGGAAGAATGGCAGACTCAGAAAAGGAAGAACTTCAAAGCTAACACTCAGCCCAAGAAGCAACAACAGGTTTACATGCCAAAACAACTAGAGGCTAAACAACAGAAGGTTGTCCTAAATGACATTCAGCAGCAAACAACCCAAACTCCAGTACATTCAGGTATACCTGCTATCAATCCTCCAGCTCAACTGGAGAGGAGTGTAGATCCTGTTGCCCAGGATCATCCCATTCCCTCTATTCCCCCATCTAGTTTTGTTGATTGTGGTGTTATTGGAGGAATGGGGACTTGTCAGGGGAAACTTAGTGATAGCCAGGAAGGGGTTCCAAATGGGGAGGGGTTCCTTATGTTTTGCATGAGTGTGCTAATGCACAATTGGCTGACCATAGGATTGACCAACAAACCCCTACTACCACACTCCCCAATTCAGACACACAGCAAGTTGATCAATATGATAGTGTGATTTTGGAGGAAGACTCTGAGTCCTTAAGCTCTGAAGAGAATCTATCTGCACAAATGAAAGCTCTCCTTAAAGGAAAAGCCAAAGTTGCTGCTGATTTTTAGGTTCAGATTCAGAAATAAAAAAATAAACCTAGCCAGAAAATGAGGAAGGCTATGAGAAACAGAAATGCAGGAATTAGTTTAAATGAGCCCCCTGATGATTCCCACTTTTTGAGCCCTCAAAGTCAGGAAAAATTCAGACTTGATCCTACTGAATCCCCTGGTTATAGGCTTTCAGTCATAGCCAATCCCTCACTCTCACAACCTCCTCTAACCAATAAAGAATTGAGCTCTGATGGCAATGAAACAGATATGCCCACCAATGATAAACCTCCCAAATCCAAAATTCACAAATTCACCTTTGTCTCCCCAAGCACTCCCAGAAAAAACCACCTCTTAAATCCTTTAGATATGGTCATGCAGGATGAGTATAGACCAATTGAGTCTGAGGATGAAAGTGCTGGAAATCATGATGATGATATTGCCTCTAATGATGATGGTCATGAAGAAAAAGAACATTGTGAGCTGCTAATTGCTGCAGTTAATGGTGAACCAAATAAGGAAAATGATGCATCTGCCACCCTATCTGCCAGAAAAAGTCCCCCTCCAAAGCTTCCCAGAAGTAGGGCTGCTAGAATTAGAAGCAGCAGTGTCCCACCAAAACACAACTCAAAACCCCCTTTCCAATGATTAGTACAATCATATGGAATGCAAGAGGCATCAGGACCTCTGGAGCCATTGAAAGGCTCAAACTCCTGAAACAAATACATAACCTCTCTTTCATAGCTGTCCTTGAACCTTTCCTAGACAATTCTCACCTCAATTCCTTTAAAATCCAACTTTCAATGCATCAAGCTTCTGCTAATGTTAATGATAAGATCTGGGTGTTTTGGGATAAGGAATTTAGTGCCAAGGTTTTAGATCATGATGAACAACAATTGTCATTAGAAATGAAGCATGCTGAAAATGGCAATCTGTTCCACCTAACAGTCATCTATGCAAAGTGTAAGACAATTCTCAGAAGACCTTTGTGGGAAATCCTTAGACACAAATCAACTACCTACAATGTGCCATGGTGTGTCATTGGAGATTTCAATGTCATTGCCTCTGTAGAAGAAAAGATTGGTGGCATTCCATACCAAATGTCCAAAAACCTTGACTTTCTGAGCATGATGGAGGACTGTGGACTTATGGATCTGGGATTCTATGGGTCTAAGGTCACATGGTCTAATGGAAGGGGGCAATATGCTATTGTATGGAAAAGATTGGACAGGCGATTAGCCAATGATTTATGGTTAGAAGCCTTTCCTGCTGCCACAATTGCTCATTTAGCTTCAGCAGGATCTGATCACAACCCCCTGCTATTGGAACTTCATACAAGACAAGATAATGGCAAAAAGTACTTCAAATTTCTCAACTGTTGGGTGGATAACCAAAGATTTCTACCACTGGTTTCAGAAATATGGAACAGAGAAGTCAGAGGTAATCCTATGTGGGTGTTTCACCAGAAGTTGAAAGCTCTGAGCCATGCCCTAAGCCTTTGGTCCAGACAATAAAATGGGGATATCTTCCAAAAAACCAAAGAATATGAACAAAAGTTGAAGGATGCAGAGCTGATCTGGGCCCAAACAAACAATGATGCTGACAGAATATCTCTCAATGAGCTCAAGGCTCAGTATGTTAGACATTTGAAGGTTGAGCAAGATGTTCTGAAACAGAAAACCCAACTGCAATGGTTTAAAGAAGGGGATGCCAATTCTAGATACTTCCACAGCTTAATCAGAGGAAGAAGAAGGAAATTGTACATCCACAAAATCAAAAATGAAGAAGGTGAGTGGTTTCAGGGTGATGAAAATATTGGGAAGCCTGCCTGTGACTACTTTCAAAACCTGTTCACAGATCCTGGCTCAGTTATTAGAGAAGACTTGCTGTCCATTATTCCAACCATGATAACTAGTGATGACAATGCCATACTCACCAGAGACCCATCTATGTTAGAGCTCAAGGACATTGTATTCTCCATGAATCCTACTAGTGCAGCAGGACCTGATGGTATGAATGGGAAGTTTTACCAAACCTGCTGGGAAGTGATCAAGGAAGACTTACTCAAGGTGGTGCTAGCATTTTTTAGAGGCAGTCCAATGCCCAGATATATGACCAATGCATGCCTTGTTCTCCTGCCCAAAGTTGAATTCCCTAACAGTCTCACAGAATTTAGGCCAATCAGTCTCAGCAATTTCATCAACAAGATCATTTCCAAGGTTATCTGTTCAAGACTTGGCCCTATCCTTCCAAAGATAATCTCTGCAAATCAATCAGGCTTTGTTAAGGGCAGAAACATCTCTGAAAACATTATGCTTACACAAGAAATAGTGCATGGTATCAAGAAGCCAATTGTGGGATCAAATGTGGTCATCAAGCTTGACATGGCTAAAGCTTATGACAGAGTCTCCTGGAGTTTTACCTGCATTATGCTCAGGAGAATGGGCTTCAGTGAAATGATCATTAACATGATCTGGAGAACAATGTCCAATAACTGGTATTCAGTCATAGTTAATGGCACCAGATGTGGTTTTTTCCAATCTACAAGAGGACTCAAACAGGGTGATCCACTTGCTCCTTCCCTATTCATCATAGGAGCTGAACTCCTATCCAGAATGCTCAACTTGCTGAATTATGATCAGCTATTTCATGGATTCTATATGGAGAAAAGGGGACCTCAAATTAACCACTTAAGCTTTGCTGATGATATCATCATTTTTACTTCTGGCAGAAGAACATCCCTGAGGAAAATCATGTGGATTCTTAGCAACTATGAGAGCACAGCTGGCCAACTCATTAATAGGCACAAGAGTCATTTCATGACTGCTCCATGTGCTCTGCCAAGTGCAGTCAGAAGAATTCAAAGGGAGACAGGCTTCTCTGGGAAAGATTCACCTCTCACATACCTAGGATGCCCTCTGTACACAGGCAGAAGCAGAATTATGCACTTCAATGGCCTTATCTCTAAGGTGCTAGGAAGAATCAAAGGCTGGCATGGCAAAATGCTTTCCTATGGAGGCAGGGCAACCTTGATCAAATATGACCTCCAATCCTTACCAATTCATCTCCTCTCAGCTGTGTCCCCTCCTAAGACTGTCATGAAGCAAATTGAAAGGTTGACAACCAACTTTTTCTAGGGAATGGATAAGGACAAACACAAGTATCACTGGGCATCATAGTTCAAACTATCCTTCCCTCCAAATGAAGGTGGTGAGGGTTTCAGAACCATTCAAGACTCATGTAAAGCCATGGAATTCAAGCAATGGTGGCAATTCAGAACAGCAAACTCTCTTTGGAGTTCATTCCTAAAGGCAAAGTACTGTCAAAGATCAAATCCAATATCCAAGAAATGGCATTCAGGCCAGTCACAAGCATGGAAAAGAATGATGTTCAACAAGAAAGAAGCAGAAAAAGTAATCTAATGGAGGCTCCACAATGGGAAATGCAGTTTCTGGTGGGACAATTGGCTTGGCTCTGGGCCACTTGCATTCAGCAGAACTGAAGGGGGCAGACCTGGTAACACATCAGTGTCCAATTTCTGGAATGAAGGTCAATGGGATCTCCAAAAGCTCAATGGAACTGCACCAGCTCATAAAATATCAGAGATCATGCAGACAGCTATATATTACAACCCTGATCTCCCTGATAAACCTATCTGGACTCCTACTGTCAGGGGTAAGTTCACATGTACCTCTGCATGGGATCTCATCAGAAAAAAAAACCACCCAGCTTCACAAATAGGAGGATCTGGCATAAAAAATTCCCTTTAAGTGGTCCTTTTGTTTGTGGAGAGCCCTTAGAAACAAACTCCCAACTGATGATAGAGTGCAAATCTTCTGTGGTCCAACTGTCACCAGGTGTGTATGCTGCTCTATGCATGCTTTGGAAATAGTGGAACACCTCTTCAGTTCTGGGAACTTTGCTAGGATCATATGGAAAAAATATGGGGGTCATGTGGGCATCCAAACTGAGAACTTGCCTTTGAGGTTGCTCCTTATGAAGTGGTGGATGACGAAGGCCTGTAATGCTGTGCAAAAGCTCATTCTAGATACCCTCCCCATCATCATCTGTTGGAATTTGTGGAAAAATAGATGTAGTTCCAAGTATGGAGCAAAAAACACCTCCCTAACTAGGGTCCTTTACTCCACCAACTCAGACATTAACCTACTCCTAAGGTCCAATTTCCCTGTCATCCAATGGCCTTTCAACTGGGGGGAACTCTACTCCTTCATTGAAAACGTTCAGCATCACACTACCATAACTCAAGTCAAATGGACTAAACCAGACAAGGGCTTTATAAAGATCAATTCAGATGGAAGTGCTATGACAAATCCTGGAAAGATTGGAGGAGGTGTCATTATTAGAGATCAACAGAGCTACTTCATTCATGCAATGGCCTTCCCTTTGGGAGAGGGTACCAACAATTATGCTGAAATTGAAGCAGCCAGGATAGGAGTTCAATGGTGTTTGGACAATGGAATTCCCAGAGTTCATTTAGAAGCAGATTTTGCACTACTTGACAGAGGATAATGATTCTCCATGGGTTTTGAAAGAAAAGATTTCCCACCTAAGGCTTCTGTGCTCTCAATTTGAGGGGTTCAAAGCTTCTCATGTATATAGAGAAGCAAACTGCCCTGCTGATTCCCTCTCAAAACTTAGCCATGACCTCAACACTCTAACAATTTCACCACTGCTTCCTCTCTCCCACCCCACATCAGAGGCCAAGTTCTCCATGACCAATTGGGTACCCCAGCTTTCAAGCACAAGAAAACCAACATGCTGATAGTATCCTCTCAAAATGCAAGCTCTTCTTCAACATCTAATGGCTATGGTTGAAACATCATCAAAGAAAGGGTCCCAATTATCAGTCCAAATGAAATACCTCATGTACCAGTTGTGGAATCAGTCAGCCCAGATTTATCTACTAATTCTGTGTGCTTTTTTGCAGGTTCCCTTCTCTTATGAACCTTACATTGCTTTGTGGTTGTTTCAGGGTATGGTATTAGCACATGTGCTCATCCTCCTGAAACAACAACATAGGTCTAGTATAGAACATAAAGGAAAGGAAAGCTCTCAGTATCCAAAACCTCATCACCAAAGTAGTCAAAGGACTGATGCAGGTCATAGAGAGAAGCAAAACCCACAAGGCATAGAACTCACTCTTCAATATGCCTTTTTTCTAGCATTGGCCTTCTGTATACTGTGGAATGATCTTTGCCTCAACAAAGATCACATCACACATACATACCTTCATAAGAAAACACCTCCCTTCTACACCATATATCACAACAGACACCAGATGATCACCAACAACACAAAAAACTCTTCCAAAAAATTGAGAAACACCTGAAAGAAATGCAACCCACACCCCTCAGATGTACACCTACCCAGGCACCTTTTACCCTTATCATCAATGCTTCTAGAACCCACAAGAAGCTAGGAGCACCTCCCTTATCTTGGCACCCCAACCATGCACAATCCCCTAAACCTGTTAAACACAACAGCCTCACAAAACTGGGCAGAAATGCTCTGTTTTTCACTAACACTGTTTTCTGTTTTGCAGGTACTCTTTCCCTTGCTTGTGTCACTCAATTGATATGGTTTTTGGGAGTGGTATTAGCACTTCTAGTGTTCATTCTCCTGGAACCATACTAACTGACACACCAACATCAACCCCTCAGGAACATCACCACACAAAGGCAACAGAAAATGCAGAAAGCAGCAGTTTTACCTGAAGGCTATCTCATTCCATTCTACTATTTTACACTCCATCCCCAGCCCAAACAACCATACCAACCAAACTGTTTTCATCATTGCTGCAGAAATCCAAATGCCTGCAGTAATGCCTTTTCAATTCAGTTTCAATTCCACAATATGAGTAACACCTATAAAGCCGATTGCAGTCCACACAAGAACCTGCAATCAGCTTTCTCTCATAAATCAGGGATCATCAAAGCTCCCCTGCCCCCAGACTCATCTCCAGTTGACACAAGAACCTGGAGATTGAGCTCCCTTTCACTAACATGTTTGTTAATTTTTGCAGGTTTTCTGAGCAGACTTGGACAGTTTATGTGCTTACAGTTAGTGGTATTAGCTTCTATGAAGCTCATTCTGCTGAAAGTACATAAATTGCTCCAAGTCTCTCACATCAGCTTCAACCTTGTTCCATTCAATAGCTCATCTGGGATGTCTTCAATACCTTCAGTGCTCAGTCAACAACAATTTCAAATATGCTGCTTCATGCTGGCTTTGAAGCAGCAACACTCACAGTACTTGGACACAATGCAGCTGCAGCATCTACAGCAGGAAAACAATAGGGAAACAAACCTAATCATCCTGCATTCTCCTCAGCAACTTCCACCAGCAAAGCTCAATCATGACAGGTCCTTCTCTATCAGACAGAACTCAGTTGAAGGCCACAGGCATCCATGTGAAGGAAGACAATGTTCACTCCCTTCTGTCACCTTCAGCAAGCAACACCACTTCTCATCTATTGGGAACCTTTTGCTTGCTATCTTCACCTTAGCTTTCTCTGTAATAGATGTCAAAGCAAGGATGAAGATAGCATCTCCTAACATCACAAGTTTTTTGCATTTCTCCTTAGGGATTTCCTAAATCTATTGTAGAGGTAGATTGGTTTGTATATGGAAGTCAATCTTCCAACTCAACAACTTGGTAGCATTAGGTTTACATGTGCATTTTTTTATAGTTGACCTAGGTTTACTTCATTCTGTTTTTGTATATCCAATTGACTATCATAATGTGATAAGTCAATTGGATCATCAGCATAGGTCTAACTCACCACAGTTCTCAGGATTATTTGGTCACTATATGTTTATGAGCAGGTGCCTTTGTACCATTTCTTGGAGGTCAGGTCTATGCCCCCCTCCTATGTTGTACTTTTATTTATTATATATAAAAATCAGCCCTAGGCACAATTCCTAGTGGATTCAACAAAAAAAAAAATCAAAAGCATTATGGCATTTTGTCATTCGTCATATTTGCTATATCAGTGCTTGTAAAATTCGTGTATTATATTTTTTTTGTACTGGTTAGTTATAAGGAGTTTAATAGGTACAAATTGGCTAGGTTAGTATCTCTAATACATAGGAACAAATCTTAGTTGGGGTGTCAAAATAGAAATTGGTACCAAATTTAAGGATTGAACTAATAAACGAGACAACACGCGTATAAATGAATTAATTCTTTTAGAGACAAAAGTTGAAAATGGAGCAACTCTTTTTGTTGGTATTTGTTTTTCAATGATACGTAAAAATGTCAAATTTATCGAGATATTTTGTTAATATTGTCCTAATGATTTATTACCCAATCAATTGGGAGAAAAATTACTGTGTTTTAAGACTGAACTGAAAACGAGACAACACTATTTGTCGATATTGGTTTTTCTATCCTTCATAAAGATATCAAATTTCTTGAGATTCTTTGTTAGTATTTGTCATAATGAGCCATCCATCTGAGATACAATAACTTGAGTTAATTTATGAAGTGAGAGAAAACTCTCCCTTGTTGTTATCAAAGAGTCCATAGCCAGTGCAATTTCCGATGAGCAATCTCATCATCAACTCTGATGGGGCGCCACCTCATCACATACCCCCAAAAACCCCCGACATTCCTATTGATTGCCACCGTGAGAAACAAACAACACCTTCCCCATCTTTCAAAGACAAACTATTGGCCACGGATTTAATAGAAGAAACTATCCAAACAAGCCCAGAAATCACCTACTCTACTACACCGTTATTCTACCACCAAAATGAAGAAACTAACCAAACGGACCTAATGCTAGAAGATACCCTTCCCTCCAGTGTAAGTAAGCAAATTTCAACCATTTCCTTAACAAAAGGAATAAAGAAAATTACCCTGACAGTGGAGGATAGGAATAGAATGTACACTCCATGGAAATTTTCAGTGATTATTAAATTGCTAGGCAAAAGAATTCCACACCAATATCTAAAAGAAAAAATCACCCATCTATGGAAACCCACTGAAATTTTTCCCCTAACAGACCTAGGCCATGATTTTTTCATTGTCAAATTCTCCAAGGAAGAAAATATGATCACAGCCCTCCACAGTGGTCCATGGTTTATCAACGGATACTTTTTGTCAACAAGGCAATGGGAACCAAATTTTGTGGCAGGGAAGGCTAAGCAAATTCATACAGCTATATGGGTCCGTCTGCCCCAACTACCCACTGAATTTTATGACGGATTGATCTTGAAAAAAATTGGTAATTCTATAGGAAAATTACTAAAAATTGATGCATGCACCAGCTCCACTCTTAGAGGCCGCTATGCACGACTTTGTGTGGAACTTCCACTAGATCAACCGGTCCAACAGAGTATCCTAGTTGGATCCCATCTCCAACAACTAGTCTATGAAGGAGTTAACTTCCTATGCAAAAACTGTGGCTACCTTGGACATACAGCTACCTCATGCACGATTACCACATCAAAAATTACAAAACTACAAGATCCCACAGCCCAGGAACGAGGTAAAGAAGTACAAAGCCCAGATATTGCCACACCACCTGAAGAGCAGTGGCAAGTGGTGTCTTTTTCACCAGGCGGAGAAACCCAAGAATACAAGACCCTGTCGAAGGCAAGCAAAAAAATTCCCCGGAAAAATCCAAAGTACCAAGTAACAGTATAGACGTTAAAATTTATGATGCAGCTACTGGTAAGTTTCTTAACTCCCAAAAATTAGTTTACAAAGCATTAAATGATTTCAATTCTTCTAATATTAATGTCTCAAAAATCACTAAAAAGGGTAACACTCCTACAAAAAAGGAAGGGAATTTAATGCATGCCTATAATGAGGATGTTTTAATGCCAACCTACAATAAATTTGATTCCCTTAACACCTTTGATTGTTCAAATTCCTCCACTGAAACCCCAAAAAATTCCCCCTCGTTCGATCAAGCTCTGTCGTTATGTCCAAAGTTATCAGTGGACCCCAATAATCAAACCACTACCATGGTGACAAGTGGCATATCCAAGCCATGCACTCTCAACCCAAATCCACTTGCCAACCCCAAAACCCCTTCCTTCACGCATACTACTTCCTCTCTCTCTCAACCTCTAGAAGACGAACTACACTTAGCATTAGACGATGGCCAAATGGCAACACCAAACTATCCACCAATCACTAATGCTCCTCCCCCTCAATCTCCCATCTCCCTATTGCATGCAAAATCTAACACTACTGATATGCAATCATTAGAACTAGATTTGCACTCCACTCACAACAATATATCTCATCCTCTACCTCACTCCAATCAGTCACAGTTTTCTCCATCTTCTCCTTCGTCCAAACTCAACCCGATTGATAGTGGCCAACTTTCCACCTTTTCCTCCTCAGATTCCATTCCATCCACCCACATATGTCTCCCAACCTCCGAACCCTCATCAAGATCCCCAAATGTGGATCGAGCAGGGTCTCTTAGGCCATGCAGTGACCTTTCCAATGATCATCAATGGCTAAGAGGTTTGGATTGTCCTCCAAAATCCGACCTTCCTAGCCCAGTTAACATCGGAGGGCATGGCACTAGCTATGGGGAATTACATCAACCATATGTGGCTAGCCAATGTCATGGACCCCCTAGCCCCAGACATTGCTCCGGCACTGCTACACAACATGCAAGCCCAATGGAATTTATCACACCACTTCAACCCACTCAACAACATGGAGTTGTTGTACCACATCCCCTTCTTCACTCCAGTCGAGCATGTCAACAACAACCTAGTCTTCTACCCTTGACAACCAATTCCCCAGTATCACCCAATACCCATGGATATTCACCACCAACAGCCACCTCCATTCGATCAAGAGCAGGACGACCCAGAGATGCCAGAAGAACCAATAGAGGAGGTAATAGCTCCACCGGTCAGGGGATCGTTCACCGAGATTTCAAGCCTTAGAGAAGCAACTCTAATGCTCTTTCAAGAAATGGAAGACAAAAAGCATGTTCTACGGTGCCCAGTGGCACTCTTCAAATGTTCAATCGACATTCGCCCACCCATTCTTCAAGCAACGGGGAATTTTGCAGCGGTCCTGAGTCCCTCTCTAAGGCAGACAAACTATCTCCTTCACCAAGGAGTAGGGAACACTCACCACAACCCAATGAATAGCCCAATGATCCTAGTAGTATGGAACATTCGTGGGGAAAACAACGATGAGTTCAAAAGGAACTTTCGAGAACTTCTGAACACGCACAATCCGGGCATGGTGGCCCTGCTAGAGACAAAGATGACAGACCACACACCTCTCAAAGATGAATTCCTCTTCACTGATATGGTAGAAGTTCCTGCCATAGGCCATGCAGGGGGTATTGTGATCCTATGGTTTGGGAACTTAGTTTCCCTAAACCTTGTTAGCCGCTCTCACCAAGAGATACATGCTATGCTTCAGGTATCTCCCATCCAACCCCCCCTATCTTATTAGTATTTTATATGCTAGTACTTGTCTGAATATGCGGAAAGTTATTTGGAACAACCTTTGTGATATAGCGGATAACTATCATGGACCTTGGTTAGTCGGAGGCGATTTCAACGAAATTTTATCCCAAAATGATAAATGGGGTGGTCAACCTCTCAACTCAAATAGGGCTGCTCAGTTTTGGTCTTGTCTAAATTATTGTAATTTATTAGATCTTGTTTTTAAAGGGGCTAAATACACTTGGACCAACTGTCGTATTAACTCAGGTGATCTAATTTTAGAACGACTAGATAGATATCTCGCTAACACTCTTTGAATCAACCAATTCCCAAATGCCCTCATCACTCACCTACCTAGAACTCACTCGGATCATGCTCCTCTTCTTCTCCAATTTAAAGGAAAAGAAGCTCCCCGTAAGGAAAAATTATTTAGACTAGAGACTTATTGGTGTCAACATATGGACTTTGAAAAAATAGTCAAAGACTCGTGGCATAATAGACAACTCCCCGAAGCCACAGAATTTTTTCAACACAATGTCACTCTTTGGGCAAAAAATACTTTTGGAGACACTAATAAAAAGAAAAAAAGAATCCTAGCAAGACTGCAAGAAATTCAATCTTCCACAAATTACCCTTATAGTCAATTCCTACATCTCCTTGAAAAGGATCTAATCACTGAGTATAATACCTTGCTTAAAATTGAGGAAGACTATTCGAAAATACGTTCCCGTTTAAACTGGCTAAATGACGGGGACGCTAATACAAAATTCTTCCATCTAAGTGTCATCAATCATAGAAGAAAAAATTCTATCTCCTTCTTTAAAGATATGGATGGTAATTGGATCCATGATCCAATCCAAATTTTAGCTCACACATCCCAATTTTTCCAAAAGGCTTTCCGAACAGAACACATAGATACCCCTATAAAGAATATTCTAAGTTCACAAACATCCTTTAACGATATAGACCTATCCTCATTGGACTACCCACTGCGCGACTATGAAGTCAACCGTGCAATCTTTTCATTCAAACCCTTTAAGGCCCCTGGACCGGATGGCATTCATCCGTTCTTTTATCAAAAATATTGGCATATTGTCAGAAATCAAGTCCTTTCCTTTTGCCACAAAATTTTTAATGATTTGTCCATCCCCACCACACTCAATTCAACTTATATCTGTCTCATCCCAAAATTTTAAAATGCAAACAGTCTTAACAACTTCCGACCTATCGGCCTCTGTAACACCATCTACAAGGTAGTTACTAAGATTATCGTTAATAGAATCAAACCATTCCTGGACAAATTAATTGGTCCTTGTCAATCTAGCTTCCTCAAGGGCAGGAGAACTTGCGATAATGCCATCATGATCCAAGAAATCACGAACCATTTCCAAAAAATTAGAGGCCAAAAAGTAAAGTTCTCCTAAAAATTGACTTGGAAAAAGCCTTTGATCGTCTTGAATGGTCGTTCATTTACAGGGCTTTAATCTTCTTCAAATTCCCCCCTCGTATCACAAAACTTATCATGAGCTGTGTTAGCACCTCCAGAATTGCCATCCTAGTAAACGGCTCAAAAACAGAATTTTTTTACCCCTCGAGGGGAATTCGCCAAGGCGATCCAATGTCTCCATACCTCTTTATCCTATGCATGGAACTATTGTCAAAATACATCAATCACCAGGTCAACATTGGTCTCTGGGATCCCATTAAATTGAATCCCACTAGCCCCCATCTCTCATCTATTTTATGCCGATGACCTAACCCTCGCTGCTAATGCTAATACAAAGTCAATCCACACAATCAAGCAGAGCCTTAATTTCTTTTCCAATCAACAAAGCTAAATCAAAAATCATCTTTTCACAAAACTGTGACGCTCATACGAAAAATCTTTTTGCCAATATTCTGGACATCCAACCCAGTGATAACTTTGGAAAATATTTAGGTTTTCCAATTCTCATTCAGAAACCTAAAGCATCTGATGCTCGCTACATTATTGACCACATGAACACAAAACTTGCAGGTTGGAAAACCAACTTCCTTTCCATTGCAGGAAGAACAACCCTAGCTAGATCAACTCTTAATGCCATTCCGAACCATGTAATGCAATATATCATGCTCCCTGCAACCACTCTAAAGCAAATTGATAAAATCCAAAGGGATTTTATTTAGGGCACCACCTCTCAAAAATGGAAAATGCACTATATCAAATGGTCCACTATTATCCAACCAAAAAAGGCAGGGGGTCTGGGCCTCAGGAAAGCAGCAGATAAAAACATAGTTTCCCTAGCTAGTCTCTCCTGACGTTTGTTTAACAACCCATGCTCCCTATGGGCATACACCCTTATTGCAAAATATAGCCATAGAAGAAACCCTAACACTAATTCTTTTATCTGGAATAATATCATAACAGGCTGGAAAATCTGTAGCCAAGGTCTACATTAGATAGTAGGCCCGGGCAACATTAACTGTTGGACCTCTGCGTGGATTCCAGGACTCCCACCCTTAAGCTCAATCATCCAAGGTCCATTGAATCACACTGACCTAACTCTCAAAGTCAAAGACCTTTGGGATTCTAACTCTTGGAATCTCACAAAACTATCCTATACTCTACCCATGGATATTCAAAACAAAATACAATCCATCAATCTGAACTCCCTAACCAATACTAGGGATATACCCACTTGGGCGCACACCTCTAATGGTATTTTTTCCTCTAGCTCTGTTTATAAATTACTCTCTACGCCTCTTCCCAACTCCTTTAAATTCCACTGGATTTGGAAACTTAATACACTCCACAAAATAAAATATTTTCTATAGCAATGCGCTTACAATCGCCTTCCTACTCTAACCTATTTGCACCAACTAGGACTACACGTTGATGCACTCTATCCCATATGTAGAATAGTGGAGGAGTCACCTATCCACATTTTCTTTGAATGCCACATAGCCACCAAATTCTGGAGCGACGCTCAACTCAACCTTCCTCAATTCAATCAATACCCTAACCACTGGCTCCATACATTAAGGGATTTATACAACAACGTAGACCAATGGGACATATGGGACATGTTCTTTCCCTTTGCTATATGGTCCCTATGGCTAAATCGTAATAACAACTCTTTCAATAAAAAGTACAACCAACTCCCCATGAAAACAGTCCTCATACGATGCAAAGAGTTCATCTACTGTACTAACTCCCCAGGCCATGTTCCTCCTTCTATCACCATCTCTATTAAATGGATACCTCCAACAAACCACTCCTTTAAGCTGAATATTGATGGGGCATTCAAAGGAAAATATAGAAAAGGAGGCTATGGAGGGGTATTCAGGAATGGCCAAGGGGACTGGGTTTTGGGGTATAAAAATTCTGCTATAGCCTACACCCCTGCATATATGGAACTCTTAGCCCTCAAAACTGGGCTTCAACTAGCCTGGGATAAAAAGTTGGTTGACATTGAAATTGAAACTGATGCAACAGATGTCATTTCCCTACTTAATAATGATACTTGTTCTATTTACACTAATTTGATTATTGAGTGCAGGTCACTACTGAGGAAATTGCAGAATCCGCCGATCCGGCATAGCTTCAGAGAAGGGAACAAAGTAGCGCACTTTTTGGCAAATGATGGATACAAACAACCAGTTAGCTCCACCCCCCATCTGATGGAACGACCTCCTTACTCCATTTTGCAAATCCTCGAAAAAGACAAGACTGGAGGCACTTATAGTAGGACTTTATCTACGGATGTAATTTCCAAACTAGTAGAATTTGGAAATCCTTTTGTAAATGGCTCTACTAATATCGGCAGTACGGTAGAACAATCTATGATTGTGCCCAATAGGGCCTCCTATCCCTGTAATAGTACTAGTTAAGTTTTAATAATAAATTCCGTATTTCCATCAAAAAAAAAAAAAACCATCCATCTGATCCATTGGGAGAAAACTTTTTTGTGTTTTAAGCAAAAAACTAATAAACGAGATAACACGTGACATAGATAAACAATACAAATAAACCGACTCTTTTGAAGATAAAAACTTAGAAATTTGAATAACTCTTTTTGTTAGGTATATTAGTTTTTCTATTCTACATAAAAATATTTTTTGGCAGATCGATCAAATGTGCTAAAACCCCAAAATACTTAGCTTTCTCGAGATATTTTATTAATATTTATTATGATGAGCCGTCCACCCGAGCCATTACGAGAAATATTTTTTTTTTAAGATTCATACTATATTATGAGTAGGAAGCCTTAAGTCTAAAATCAAAAGAACAAAATGTCCATTAAAATTTGATGACCATTTCGCCCTTCAACAAGATATTATTCGTATAATGTTTTCGTACAAAAATATAATTATATTATAATAAATGCGACTCTATTAGATATAGTCATACACCTCGAGGGAAGTTTATAAGAGGTCTCATTAATTTACTGGAGGCTGTTGAATAATTTACCTTAATTCTATATAAAGATGGTTTTAGAAATTGTTACAAAAATCGTAGAGAAAAATGCGGTGCTTAAGAAAATGGGTCAATACCATCCTGTAAGTATGACTTAATTTTTTTTCATTTTTACTATATATATGTGTTTCATGTGCAAAGAAATAAAGTTGTAGCTTAGATATTTGAATAGTAAACAACTCAAACAAATACTTTTGGAATATGTATACAATTAAATTTGATTTTTTATATAACTTTATTAATAACTTGCACGAGATATGCACGTGCAATGCACGTGTCCATAAATTAGTTAAACTAAAAAAATTAGAGAACATGTGATCTAGAAGAACATTATAAATGAACTAACTCTTTTAAAGATAAAATTTAAAAAAACAACTCTTTTTAGTCGAATATTAGTTCTTATATCCAACATAAAAACATCAAATTTCTCGAAATTGCTTGTTAATATCTGTCATAATGAGTCGTCAACCCGATCTATTGGGAGAAAAATTATTGTATTTTTAAGAACTGAACTAAAGGACAATGCAACACGTAATCAAGATAAACATTATGAAGGAATCAACTATTTGAAAGACAAAATTTAAAAATAAAACAGCTCTTTTGTGGGATATTAATTCTTTTATCCTTTATAAAACCATTAGATTTTTTGAGATATTTGTTAGTATCTTTCATAATAAGCCGTCTACCCACTATGATGTAAACTCACACAGCAGTGATCCCGAATCGATTTTCTTTTTGTTGCGGGATAAATCTGACAACCAATTGATGGCTACTAGCCTAGCAATGACGATTCACTAAAAACTTCTCTTTTTGTTTTGACGTTGTCAACATTCTAAAAGAAAATTTCTTTGTTAGTGATTCGACTTTCTATCTTAAAAAGATAATGAAAATTCGAAGAAACACTTTTAAAAATATTTCCCGCACTTCTTCGATAAATTTGCTTACTTTGCCGATGCCTCTCTCCGCAACTGGAAAAACCGAACTAATAAATGAGACAATATGTGATCAAGAGAAATATTATAAATAGACAAACTCTTTTAAAGATAAAATTTAGAAATGGAACAGCTATTTTTGTTGGATATTAATTATTTATTCCTACATAAAAACGTTAGATTTCTTGTATTTTTTTTTCTTCTTACTATTTGTCATAATGAGCCATCCACCCGAACAACTGGATGAATGATCAGTTTTTTTAATAAGAACTGAACTAATAAATGAGATAACACGTGATCTAGATAAACATTAGGCTATAAATGGTACTTATACTTGTGTCACTTTGTCATGCCAGTCCCCAAACTTATCATTTTGCCAATTGAATACTTACACTCGTTCAAATCGTGTATAATAAATGCTTATGAAAGGAGGTTACCAATGCGTGTAATACAATCTCCTACACGTAGGACGGCACGTCATTACTAGTGCCACATAAGAAAATAAACTATTGAAAAATAGGACTGGCCACTACACAAAAACCGAACCCATAGAAAATAGATGCAGTAGGTTCTTTCTTCTTTCGTTTATTAGGAACCTGTCACGACCCAAAGTCCAACTAGTCGTGATGGCACCTAACTCAACCCGCTAGGTAAGCCAACTAACAACTATCCAATTCCAATAAAATCAATAAAACAATTAAGTAGAGAAGTTAACTGAATCTTGTACATTTCCCAAGAACTGGTAGTACAAATCATGAGCTTCTAAGAATAGAGTTTACAAAGCTGAAATGAAGTAAATACTTCAGCTGTTTGAAAAGTACATAAACAGAGTTTTATGAATCTAAGGCTACCATGAACAAGAGGCAGCTGCAACCGGAACGCAGGTATGTCTTCAAATCCAGCTCCCATCGAACACAGCAACATCATCAGTCAACATCTGCATGCAAGGTGCAGAAGTGTAGTATGAGTACAACCGACCCCATGTACTTAATAAGTAACAAACCTAACCTTAGGTTGAAAGTAGTGACGAGCTGGAACAAAGGTCGGGTCCAACACCAACAGCAGTTCATAACAATTTAAAGCAAGTAATAAAAGAGGTAGCTTAGAGTTAAAATGCTCAGCTTATTCATAGTTCCCGAAAATAGTTCCGCTTTTCAAGTATATTAGTGAAAACCCAAATTCTTTACCGAAATTCTCAAAAATATGAGTAAGTTTGAAAACTGTGATTTTTTTCAAAAACCTTTCAACAATACATAAGATGTTTTATTTTTCAGATAGCGTGAGGAAAATACATCTCTATGCTTACATGTCAATATACAAGTGAATTCATGAATGTCACCAAAAACCAGGTAGCTGAAGGACATGCATCTCAATGCATGTATCTCAAGTACGCATGTCAAATGCAGCCATCTTAGTGATGAACTTATGTACTCACACTCTCAGAGTACTCAATCTCACTGTCTCACACATTCCACTCATCACGCTCAATTACTCGACACACTCAGTCACTCAGAACTGATCAGGGCAAATCTAGCCCAAACATAATAACTGGTAGCAACTGCACTCACTAGAAGTGTGCAGACTCCGGAGGGGCTCCTACAGCCCAAACGCTATAATCCGCACGGACAACTCACGTGCTGCACGGACAACTCACGTGTTGCACGGACAACTCACGTGCTATAATATCAATATTTGAATCCGCACGGACAACTCACATGCTGCACAGACAACTCACGTGCTATAGTATCAATATCTGGATCCGCACAGACAACTCACGTGCTATAGTAACAATATCCTCACAATCAGGACCTCGGCCTTACTCAGTCATCAATCTCTCCAGTCTCTCTCTCACGGGTTCACAATGTCATAAAACTAGCCTGAAAATGATGATATGATGTATCAATAAATAATAACAGAGACTGAGATATGATATGTAATGAATGAATATGACTGAATACAAAATTTCAATAAAATCAATAAGTCAATAGCAAGAAACCACTATAGGTCCCAACAGTACTAGCATATAGCCTAAACATGATCTCTAGCATGATTGACAGCTCAATTACTTTAGTACGTAGAGATTTCATGGTTACAAATAAGATCATGTAACTACGCTATAACGACCCGACCGGTTGTTTTACTTTTTAGAACCCCGTTCCCCCAAAATAAGACTTCCTGTACGTGCTTTTACTATTTTATGACTTGCGGGGATGGTTAGTTCGGGATTTGGAAGGTTCGGGTTGAAACCGGAACACTTGGTTCCTTAAGGTTGGCTTAAAAGGCCAAGTTTGACTTTGGTCAACATTTTGAGTAAACGACCTCAGAATTAAGATTTAACGGTTCCAATAGGTTTGTATGATAATTTCGGACTTGGGCATATGTTCGAATCGAGTTTGGGATGACCTGGGAGCGTTTTGGCGCCTAATAGTGAAAGTTGGTTCTTGAAGGATTTTAAAGTTCTTTAAATTTGGTTTGGAGCAGTCTTTGGTGATATCGAGGTCCGAATGGAATTTCGAGACCGGAAATAGTTCCGTATGGTGATTTAAGACCTGCACGCAAAATATGGTGTCATTCCAAATAGTCTAAGTATGATTCGGTGTATTCGAGCAATTGGGAAAATTTGAAGTTCATATGTTGATTCAATTTGGTTTTAGGGTGCGATTCTTAGTTCCGTTGATGATTTTCAAGTTTCGAGAGTTTGAGCAGGTCTGCATCATGTTTTCAGACTTGTTGGTGCCTTTGGATAGGGTCTCGAGTGGCTCGGGTGAGTTTCGGACCCCTCGGAGCAAAGTGTGAAAAACCAGAAAATCCCAGTTCTGGCTTCCTTCTTCGCGAATGCGGAGGGAACCTCGCGTTCCCGTAGAAGGAATTGGGACTGAGGTGTTACGACACAATTCCTCCCTCCGTGAACTGTCGTGACGGCACCTAGTCTCTACGACTAGGTAAGCCTAACACATTGCAGAAATGAATACAAAAGCATGTATATTAACTATTGGCAACACAACTATCCATTAAGAAACTAAATGCCACTAGGCATATACAGTTAACACTTTAGAAAAAGTATCGAACAATACCCAAAACCCGGAAACTCGCAAGTCACAAGCTACTAAGATGTCCTAACTGTTGTATACATCATCTCTACAGAAAGAAAGAGAAATGAACATAAGGGGATAGAGGGGGACTCCGAGGATCTGCGGGCGCGGGCAGATGTACCTTGAAGTCTCCAACAGGCAGCAGTGACTGCAACTAGTGATGAGGCTGGTACGATGAACCTGGATCTGCACATGAAAAACATGTGCAGGAAATGGCATGAGTACACCACAGCGGTACTCAGTAAGTGTCATGCCTAACCTCGGTCGAGCAGTGACGAGATCAGGTCAGGGCCCTACTGGTATATATGTATAATAAGATAAAACAGTATGAAATATCGCAGTGAAGATAAATACTAACAGTCAGCGAAAATGAAAATCACAGAAAAATAATAACTCAGTACAC